GTGTCACGGAGCTCCGATTTTGTAAAATGTTTGTATAAAAGTTATTTATGTTTTAGTTATGATATCTTTCAGTATGTTTTATATGTTTGAAAATCAGTTACCTCAGTACTTATGGTATCATTCAGTATGTTTTAAAAGAAAATGATATCATTCAGTATGTTTTAGTTATGCACCTACTACTTAGTGCCAAGAAACATTTGCTCCTGTGGAAAAATTAAACATTATGAGGGTACTATTGTCTCTGGCAGTCAATGACGACCGGGTGCTTCAACAATTAGACATCAAGAACACCTTCTTAAACGATAACTTAGAAGAGGAAGTGTATATGCAAAAACCATTAGGTGTGAAGAGTGGTTCAAGGTAAGCATGTTGACTATTGAAGTCTTTATATGGGCTCAAACAATCTCTGAGAGCATGGTTTAATAGATTCACAAAGGTAATCATTCAGGATGGATACAAGCAAAGCCAATCTGATCATACATTGTTCGTCGAAACAACTTCAAACAAGAAGAGAGCTATTCTGATAGTCTATGCTGACGATATTATATAACTGGTGATGACACTGTGGAGATATAAAGATTAAAGAAGCTACTATAAAAGGGAATTTGAGACAAAAGACTTGGGAAATTTGTGATATTTCTTAGGCATTGAGGTTTCAAGGTCGAAAGAATAAATAGTGATAACTCAAAGAAATTACACTTGATATACTATTAGAAACAAGAATGAAGGGATGCAAACCTATCAAAACACCAATGGAGGCAAATCTTAACTTAAGAAAAGAATTGGGAGCCCAGTAAATAAAGAACAATACCAAAGGCTAGTAGGTAAGCTCATCTACTTATCACTCACCTGATATGATATAGATTTATTGATAAGTATTGTGAGCCAATATATGAATGACCCAAGATAAGAAAATTAGAGACTGTAATCCGAATTCTGAGATACTTGAAAATGACACCATGACATGAATTGATTTTCAGAAAAAGAAAGATAAAACAGTGAAAATCTTCTTCAAATCGAGTTGGGCAGGAGAATTACCAAATAAAAGACCTACAACTGGTTATTGTTCATTTGTTTGGGGAAATATTTTTATGTGGAGAAGTAAAAAGCAAGTGGTGGTCCTAGGAGTATTGCAGAAGCAGAATATAGAGCAATGACACACGACATTTGTGAGGGAATTTGGCTATAAAGACTTTTAACTGAATTGGTTTTATGTGAAAACGATTGTTTTGAACTTCAAAGCAAGCGAATAATCTAATTCATCATGATCGAATGAAATATGTGGTGATCGATAGACATTTTATCTCGAAAAGATGAATAATGGACCAGTCAAACTCAACTATGTCCCAACCAAACATAAGTGGACGAATATCCTCACAAGGCGCTTCCAAAATCCACTTTTGATGAAATCGTGTCCAAGCTAGGTCTTTTCAACATTTACTCCCAACTTGAGAGGGAGTGTTAGTTGTACGATTGAATAGATTTTGCTAGATTAATAATTAGCATATTGTATTAGAGTAAGACTCTACAAGGTAATATAGTTCTAGTAGTAAACTAACTCCCTGAATTGTACAAAAGTAGGCATATACTCCCGTAAATTCAATAACAATTATCAAGAGAATTATTTTATTCCTATTCTTTGGCTTTTACAATTATTTATACACTTCAACTTATCCATTGGTATCGGAATAGTAACTTCTCGTTTTCCTGGAAAAGGAAAGATATCATAGTTCTTTCAAACTGTGAATTTCTTTTCTAAATGAAGGAAAATAAAAAGTAAGAAGAAGGTGTTCTAACATATTTTCCAAAGGAACTAAACATGAGCCAATCCTCATACTTATCAAACAAGTTAGGTTTGAAACAGATTGACTAGCTAACCATACTTATCAAACAAGTCAGGATTAACATGCTCAACTAAAATCAACCTCAACGGGTAATGTCGTGTGGACTAATTCGAGGTAACAATCCAAATTCACCTATTTAACCCTATTTGGTACAAGTTTGAGAAAGAGTGCCCTTCAAAAGCAATGACACTTCCATGGTTAACATCAATGTATAATGATTAACTACTTATTGATGGGAACTGAACATAGGTGTTGATTTCACAAACTATTAACACAAATGGCTAGGACTCACCTCGACTGCATATAAAGTTATCAGAATTGTTAGACGAAGAAATATTCCACCAAAAGTTCTATGTTAATTTCCGGAAAAGTATCATATTGTTTGAGCTTCTTAAGCCTTGTGTTCTACAACAACAAAAAACATTAAATGCATAATAGCTCAAATACACCCAACTATGCTTAAAAAAAAGAGGCAATCCTTCATAGCATATCCTCTAATTGAAGCCGAAAACATACGATTATGTTTCATCAAGCAAAACACATCTTCAATAACATACGATTATGTTCACAAACAAGGCAATCAGTAACTTAAGATTATTAACAGAAGTTTATAGGGGTGTAAATGAATCAAGTTTAAATATAATGTTGAGTTTGTTTGTTTGTTTATTTTTTAAGGAGTTCATGTTCGTTTAAAATTTTATTATCATGTTCGTGTTTGTTTATTTGTATTGTTTATTTATTGTTCGTGAACATGTTCGTTTATGTTTGTTTAGTGTTTGTAAACATAGTCATGGTCATTTATATGTTAAAAATGATGAAATTATGCCATTAGTCCTTTATTTCCTTAGGGTTCACAGTTTGAACTCCAACATTCATCATGTGTTCAATTTAGTCCCTATCTTCTCCAATATTAAAATTCTAAAAAAATAAAAGGAAAAGGAGAACAGAATAAAGAGCTTATAAAAATTTCAATAAACAAGCTTTCAAACGAGCTTATTCATTTGTGCTCATTCGTTTATTAAATGAACATAAAAATTTTATTCATACTTGTTCATTTAGCTTAATAAACAAACGTTATACAAATAGTGTTCTATTCATTTACACCCCTATTAGTGGATCACCATAAGATTATTGTTGATATACAACAAGGGAGGTTGGGGGTTTACAGTGGTTCAATAGGTAAGGGATAAAAAAGGTTGGCCAACCATGTAGATCACCCTTCTAATGTAGGCAAAGATAGAATGGATGATCATTTATTTTCTATTAATAATATGTTTTCGTCTAAAATTATATGTCCTTGTAACAATTGTAGTCATGATTATGCATATTATCCTTGGAACTTAATAAACTTGGTCCAATACCACAATGAACAATCAATACAGAGAAATTCATTTCATTCTTTGAATCCACCAACAATAAAAGTTGAGAGAAAAATGAGTGTTAAAATCATATGATCACCAATGCAAATTACTCAGGGATTCCAATCACACCCAGATGCTTAAATCCAAACAATTCATGTTCAATCAAAGAAAAAGATGAAAACTTGAACATGAAAATGTAACTGGCTGAAGTAGAAGAAGCAGAGGGCTGAATCAGCCCTAAAATTCTAGAAGGCAATAGCCATGGCTGAGGGCTTTGTAACTGAAAAAAACATAATTTCCCCTTTTATGGATCAAAAGAATTGGAATTTTTTTTTGAAGAAATAGAAAAAAAGTGAAACAAATTAGATTGTAGGAAAAAGTGGGAACTACATGGATTTGGAATTTTTATGGAAAAAGCTAAAGAAAATATGGAAAAATATGGGAAAATAGGGAAAATGGTATATGAACCCCACTTGTCCACTCCATTGCTGACCTCTCATCTATTCCATCCTTGTTTCTCTCTCTGCTTTGGTAATGCATTCACGTTGACACAATATATTTTTAGATTAAAAGTTGCATTTCATACGGAAAACTCTGTTACCTTTTGTGGTTGAATTTATTATTTTTGAATATTCTAAACTAAAACTACAAAAAAAAAATTTGAAGTTTTTGGAATTTCAAAGCTAATGGTTGAAATAATATATTTTAATTCTATCTTTACATACCTCTTCTCAATTCTCTGTTTTAAACTTAATCATATTATAATAAAATGATAGTCGATGTTAAAATTAATATTAACATAATATTTATTAATGATTTTATCTATCCTCGTTTACACTGAATTCTCTACCTATTGAACTAAATAATTTTAATGATTAAAAGATTATTATTACTTTTTTAAATTTCGGGTTTGAGTATTATGTATATAAGTGATTAAGAAATTTTTAAACATGTATTATCCAAATGATTCAAAAATTGCATATGCCAAAAGGTATTTTATGTGTTAATGGATTATAAATTAATAATTGATATGAAAATCTATCAATAACTATGTTTTGAATCGATTGAGATCATCATCATTTCCTTGACTACCCAAAATTATTCTCTGTTAAGAAATCAAATCTCCAAATATATGTGATTATTTAAATAAAAAAATCCAGTTTCTCCATCCTAATTTCTGATTTATTTCCATTTCAATTTTCTGAGAAACAGTTTTTCCCGGGAAAACCAAAGGAAATGAAATCCGCGTCGAATTTTCCATTGGGCCAAACAGAGGCGTTTGTGAATGGGGCAACAACAATCGAAAGATGAAATGCTATACAATCAAGTGAATTACGGTAACGTTGAAGGGATTAAATCTCTTTTCCGTGAAGGCGCCAGCCTTGAGGTATCAAATAAGTAATCTTTTTTCCTCTCGTGTTTGATCACCTTGATATTGGCTTGTTTGAATCCATCGCTTATTGATGTAGCCAAAACTTTTATCGAACTCGGCGCCAATGTTAACGCTTATCGTCCAGGTTTCGATTTTATTGGTTTAGTTTTTATTTATTATGAATCTGAATGTTCATTAGCTGGGAAGCAACAGCAGAAATGTATGAATCTGAAGGAATTTTTTTAGTTTAATTTCCCTTTTTTGACCTGGTAATTTCTCTTTGCCATTAATGATATTGGTTTAAGTTAAGCTTTTGGGGACTTTGTTAAATGAATTTTATGAACTGATTTTAGTTTTGGGATTTTAATCTGTGTTTAGGTCACCTTTGTGGGACTCCATTGCACCACGCAGCAAAGAGGGGACTTCTAAATTCAGTCAAATTACTTCCCGTGGAGGTTGTGCTTTACCTATTTCTTTAATTCGGTGTGAAAACCAAGTTTCTACTTGAACTGTGTAGAGTTGTCTTATAAGTGACTGGTTCCAAATTTCAGCAAATCCATTGGCTATGAATGATGATGATCAAACGCCTCTGGATGTTGCTAGGGTGAAAGGAAATGTCAATGTTGTGCGAGCTATCGAGGTATAGACGGGAAGTAATAACCTTCTGACAGCTTCGAAATGACATTTATCTTCCGTTTTTGATGTTGTGCAGGAGCACATATGTTTATTCTCCGGTTGGATGCGAGAGTTTTCTGGGTCGGGATTCATCAAAATGTTTGTTACTCAACTGGTTTCAAGAAAAGTGTGGGTATTAGTATTCAGTATTCGTTTTCTTAATCTTGGTTGTTTAATTATGGGTGTTCAATGTTGGAAATTAATTGTTGAATGTTGAATTTTAAGTTAGAATATTGATTTGGGGCCAAATTGAAAATTTGGTGAAGATTTAAGGTGGAATTCTTTTGAAATTAAGGGCTTAATTGTAAGTTTACAAATGTGATGGTATTAGTTGAGAATAATACTAGAATGTTGGAATTCATAATTTGGATGCTGAATTTTAAGTTTGAGTTTTTGGTTTGGATCAAATTGCAAAATTTTGGGAAATTGGTGTTTGAATTCGAATGGTATTATGAATTTAGGGTGAAATTGCAAGTTTTTAAATATTAAAGTATTGGACTGAGTATATTTTTATATGCTGAAAATTTTAGTAATTTATTTGGAGTAAGCATAATGATGAAGGACCATTGTGAATTAAATGAAAAAGTTGATATAAATTCTAAAAGGAATTCATATATAGAGTTTTAAATGCAAATTCGTGAAAGATGAAGGGTTGTTGGTGGAAATGAATATTTATGGAATTGAATGACTATTTTGGGAAGTTTGAAGTTATGGTGTAATTATGATTTAGTTTTATATCGATTTAGTATCGATTTTTATTTTATAGATTTTTTTTTTTGTTATTAAGTTTAGATTATGTTAGTATAAGACTAACATATAGTTTGAATATCTTGTGTTATTATATGATGTTGTCAGATCATGATAAACCTAGTGATCAAAGTGACACAAAAGGAAAGGAAAAAACATGTGAGTAAAGGAGTATCATATTAAAGGTTGTAGTGAGGCAAAGGTAAGTGTAATTTATTTATTTAGTTATTTTGATCGAGGAAGACTTGCGATAAGTCAACCACACATTAGTTTTAAAGTATGATTTCTATTTTAATTATAGAATATTTCCATAATGTTTACATAAAAGTTTTATGAATAATTTAGGGTATGAACTGCCCAAATTATGATTTTTATGATAATGAATGGAAAATGATTATGATTTGGAAATGTTGATTTATAAATGAATATGATATAATCTGAAAGCCTGTTGTATGTTATATTGAGAATCGTAGGTACATTTGGCATGCCATTAAGTTGAGTAATTATGATTCTGATCTGGTACATTCGTGTACATTATGAAAGGCACCGTTGGTGCAAATGATATGATTGCACTTGGAGTGCATATTTTGATTATGATGATTGCACCGTGAAGTGCTTAATGTGCACATTCTGTCTGACTCACGCACCTTGACTTCTCTTAAATACACTTTTAGATACGAAGATGAAATATGAAAGTTATGAAATGTGTCTGAATGAAAAGGAAAATGAAATGATTATTATATCTGACAATGTTTGTCATGATTTTTATACAATCATGAGATGATGATGATTTACAGGTTTCTGACGAAGAAATGGCTTGAATAAATCAGTTTGAAAGTTTAAAGATTTTATTTGAGCTACTTTTAAATGTTTTAATGTATTTATGTTACTTTAATTGTTTTATCTCATCTTGAGTTATTACTACCTCACTAAGTATTACTTAGCGCGTGATGATTTTCATGCGTAGGTTCGGATAAAAGAAATGATGTGCACTGAGTAGCCTTCCAAGCATATTTTGAAGATCATCCTTATTATCAATAGTAAATTAGGATCATTTTATTTTGGCTAGCTTTAGTTATATCTGAATTTATAAATGAATAGTATATACATGTGTTATGTTTTAAATGGTTTTTTAAATTAAGCTGAATTTAAGAAGTTTTATGTAGTTTATAAAATAGCATTTAACTGCCTAGTTGTTTCCTAAAATCTAATTTAAAGAGGTTAAACAAAAGTTTTAAAAAGAAACAAAATTTCAAGGGATTAAGTACAAAAAATTTATGTAATGTTAATATAATATTTTTAACTAGTATTTCGAGACGTATACGAGCTATGGATGTTACAAGCAGGGTTGTCTTTCTTTTTGAATTCGGAATGGGAGTCGAAAGAAAGATTAATCTTAAAGTGTGATTGCAAGAATGTATTGGAGTGGATTGATAATCTTGCGTCCAGTCCTGCTAACTTTGCGACTATTGTTTGGGATATTGTGACGATGGTGATGAATCAAACGGTTATTGTGAGGTTTGTGCAGTAGAGTCCAAACTCAGAGGCAAATAAATAACTAATAAAGGAATTGAGTGATGATGTTTATAAATTTGGCTCAAAGGTGTAAATGCTATGTAACGGTGTCGTTGTGTACTTAAAGTTTGTTACTGTTGGTTGTATTGAACTATGTTTTTATTTATATATATGAGGTACTCTTTTCTTCCAAACTCATTCAGGTGTTTGTAAGGGTTCTCATTTTGTAAGTTGTGGATGGTCGGTAAACGTTGGATTAGTCCCATTTTTTAATTCAAAAGGCATTTCACCATTCAAGAATGTGATGCAAAGCGACTGTTATTCATTAGGTGTAGCAGTTAGCTCTCGGATCATTGGATCATCCATGTGTTATGATTCTTCTTCGTTGTATGTGAATAAAGCCTCGGTTTTTTAGATTTCTCCTAAATATGGATCTAGTTTCAATTGGCGATGTTGCCTCTTCGCCGAAGTTTTTCTCCATGTAATCTCTAGGCAAGTGCTTCAATTTTAGGTTCGTATTTTGTTAATTCTCCTAGAAGCGGGTCTGGTCATAGATCAAAACAAAAAAATATATTAGTATTTTTTTGCCGAAGTCCCCGATAACAGCGTCAATTTGACAATCGTCGAAATTGTCAAATAAAAATAAATCTTATTTATCAAATAAATAAATAAAGGTAGAATAGAGAATTAGCGTTTATCTACAGGGACTGAGGAAGTTCGATGTCGTTTCGTGAATAAATTAACTATAAAAATAAAAGAGGTTGATTTATTAATAAAAAATGACAAGGTAAAAATATAAATGATAAACTAAAAATAATGAAAGGTGAAAAAGAAAGTAAGGATAAAATAATTCAATAATGATGATTTAGACTTAGGTTTCATTTAGATTCAATTTTGATTGATCATCAAAATAGATTTTTGTCTTATGGGTTCACGCCGATTACAGTCAATAAGGCTCAACCATTTCAGCTGATTTTTCTCTCCGGTTGATCGACACTTCCTAGACTATATTTGAAATTCAATCTTTGTTGGACTAACCATGTTTATCGTCGTTAGCACCAAGACAACTTTAAGTGCTGGGAAAGCCCTAGTCGATTTATAGTGTCTCATCGAGAATCAAACCCGATCTTGATTCCCCTTAACGGACCGTCACTAAGTTTGTTCACAAGAAGTTGAATTATGACCAACCGATTTGTCCTCCCAACAGTAAATAAAAACAATCTTCTAATTAATCCATCTTTTTGAAGTGAAGGAGTTGTGACAATTAAAGGAATGACCGATTGCCAATCCTAGATTTTAGAAAATCGAAGAATGTATCCAAAGTTGTTAAGTGCTACTCACAACCGGATACAACCCAAGAGTTCTAAGAAAAATAAAATAACTAAAAGATAAATATAAATATAAATATAAATATTGTAATCACCAATTTTCAAATAAGTCAAAAGCAGCTTACCCACTACACCTGCTCCCATCATCCCGTGATTCCTGCAGAAACATGCGCAAAATCACCGAAACATTTGTAATATTTTATGATTAAATTATGTAAACGTTTGGCTATAAAAGCCAAAAAAAATGTATCATGAAGGGAATGAGTTTTTTGGTTTCCAGTAGAAATAAAATCAGTGTGGCAAGGTAGTCGGTTCTTCAGTTTTTTATTTTATTTCGAAATAACAATAATATGAATTTATTTATTTATTTATTTTGTTCAATTTTGAATAATAAAAAGTATAAATAACATGTATTTTACAATAAAAAAAATAAAAGGAAGAGGGATCGAGGCTTACCTGAGCCAAAGGGGGCCTCGTCGGAGGTTGTCGGAATCCGGGGAAATCAAGCAGTTTCAGGGTGTTTTCGGGTACTTTAAGGCTTTATTTCTTAGTTTTAGCCCCAAGGAGGGTTCCTAATGGGTAGATATATTGTTTTGGGGTGATTTAGGTTGATTTTACAATTTCTGGCCACCGTGTACAGAGGCCGGAGTGGCGGCCAACCGGTGACCAGGGTTGAGCAAGGTAGCCGGCGGTGGAATGGTTGAGTTAGCTCTCAAGAGCTCTTTCATTTTTTTGTGTTTTTGGGTAAAAATGAAACAAAAAGAGTAAAAGTTGGTATATATACGATAGATTAATGGTAAAATTACATCTTAAATGCCTCTAACTTTCCCGTTTTTTAAATTTTAGCCACTGTAAAGACCAAAATTGATATTTCACCATTTTTCTATGCATGCTTTATTTTTCTGGTAAATTTACTGTTTCAGTACCTTTAATTTTAGCGTGTTTTTTACACTTTGGTCAATGCACCTTTTATTTTTATTTTGGTATGCATTTTTATTTTATTTTGATTTAGTCCTTATTAGTCTTAATTTAGTTACTGAATTTTATTTTCTTGCATTTTGGTCCCTGTTTACTTTTTATTGAGTTACTTTCTTTTATTTTCTCGTAATTTGGTCATTATATTTAAATTTTATTATAGTTAGATCCTTGTATATTTTAATTTTCTTTATTATTTGTAATTTTTATTATTTTGTTTAATTTTAGTAGTTTTCGCATTATACGCTTGAATACTCGAATTAATTGTTTGATTAAAAATTAATTAATAATTAATCTTTTTCTAAAAATCTTAGTTTAATATTTTAAGTAATAATTAATTTTTAACTAGTCCCTTAATTTTAGAAATTATTAATTTCGGTCTTTAGATTTTTAAATCTTTTAGAACTCCGATATTTTAGTCATGTGCTCTTTTAGTCCCTCAAACTTCGATTAGACTTTAAATATTGACATAATTAAATAGGTTAAATAGAGCCTCCATTTTAGCTTAAATTTCTAACTAGTCTTTTAATTTAAGGGATAATTCGAGTCGGCCCTCGCGTAAACGCTCGA